CACACACACACACACACACACATACTCACACACTCAAACATGTATGAGTGTCTTTCTTCTGCCGGACACTAAAGAAGATGATGTTTTAAAGACCAGACGGTTGACGGTACCCATTCACTTCCATCGTATTTTTTGCTATAGTATAGAAGTCAATGGGTGCCGTCAACTGTTCGCTCTTCAAAACATCATCTTCAGTGTTCAGCAGAAGAAAGACACTCGTTCAGGCTGAGGAAGAGTAAATGATCACAGGGTTTGATTTTTGGCTGAACGATTCCTCTCACAAGACGATACAGTTAGATGAGTGTTAGTCGAACCCGTGTTTGAATACGAACTTTGTGTGTGAAGCCAAAGCATCATTCCATTTGTGACTCAACCAATCAGCTGTCGCTCGATTTCAGAGCCGCTAGCTGGAATGAAGATCACAGCTACTTTTATTTTCAGTGTAAATATGGAGTTGAACACGAGGCTTGATGAAATGATTCTGTGTTAAAGATAAAGCATATTTATAATCATCGAGGCTCCTGCAGACGTTTGTTTTTAGGAACGTTGTTCAGGGTTTATTTTTTACGCTTTTCTTTTACCCGTCACCGCAGAGAATGATGCTCTTCCTCTTGTTTTCCAGCACAAATATCTGAACATCCTTAAATCAAGAATCATTTACTGGAGATGCAAAATTTTAGATAATAAGTCTGAAATGTTAATCAAAATATCTGTCAGTGGGCTCAGAAAAATATTTTTTTCACTTTTGAATTACGTTGATTTTGTCCCGTTTTAAGCATAAACCCATTAAAAAGGTATAATAAAAATCTAAAAATAAATATATTAATTAATTAAAATGAGCAGTTTTTTTTTCTCACAAAACAAGAATTAATATCTGAGGTCATTTTGCATCTCCAGTAAATGTCTTGTTTTCATAATCTTCATATATTTGCACTGGAAAACAAAATCATTTTTTCTTCCCCCAGATTATCGCTGATATAATGACGTAAGGAATCGGCTGTAGTGTTTAACCTCTCAAATGTGAAGATACGCAAATTAATCTAATTTTATAACGAGTATGAAGAGATCTGTAATATACATGACTGTATGTAATGAGAAAATAAATGACTTAATGCAACATCCATCGTTCTTTGCTGGGTTTTTAAGTTTTTATTAATGATTATGTCATCTTTTATTATAAACATTAGTACAGTATTAGCATTTGTATCAACATTATTAGAAATGTCTGAATGAATCAGAATCAAGCGATGAGGTGATTAATGCAGACACACTGCAAAAAAATGATTTTCTTAGTATTTTTGTCTTGTTTTCTAGTATATATTAGTGCTAATCACATCCAAAATAAAAGTTTTTGTTTACATAATATATGTGCGTACTGTGTATATGTATTATGCATATATAAATACACACACATGCGTGTATATATTTACATGCATATATGTATATTCATATAATTTATATTATTTTTAAATATATTTAATATATTAACAATTTTTCTTAAATATATACATGCATGTGTGTGTATTTATATATGCATAATAAATATACACAGTACACGCATATATATATTATGTAAACAAAAAATGCGATGAATCGTTTGACAGCACTAGTATAAATATCTAAGAATTCTTGAATCAGGATGCATTTACTTGACAAGTAAAATGATTTAAGATGTCTTGTTTTCTGAAAAAAAAAAAAAATTTGTGTTAGTTTTTGCTTAAAACAAACAAAAATATCTGCTAATGCAGTAAGAAAAATAATCTTAATTCAAAGGCTAAACAAGATTTTTTTTTCTTGCACCATTGGCAGATATTTTTGCTTGTTTTAAGCAAAAACTAACACAATTTTGATTATTTGTTTAGAAACGAAGACTTAATATTTTAAATCATTTCACTTGTACAGTAAACACATCATGATTCGAGAATGTTTAGATATTTATTCTAGAACACAAGACACAAACACTAAGCAAGAGAATGATGTTTTGCAGTGCTCTCATTAGTGGAGATGATTCTCCTTCAGAAGCTTCGAGCGACGGCGTGGATCTTCAGAGCTTGGCGTAGTCCTTCAGCACGGCCTCCAGCTTCTGGCTCAGCATGATGTTCCCTTTGACTTTCAGCTTGCCGGAGAAAAACGCCTGCGGGTCAAACACAGAGCAGAACGAGGCCCATCGCAATAATCAATATATACACTTATCACGCAATATATGCACATGACCTCAATCATTTTTGGTGGCGCAGTATATCGCACGTTATATTTACTTGAAAATTAATGTCAGCATGTTTAGCACGTTCCACTTGCGCCGGTGTCTTCTGCAGCTTCTCGAACAGAACGCAGTGTATCATGAGCTGCTCGTTCACAGTTAAAAAATGCTTCTACAAGCAAAGTTTCATCTGCAGATATGATCTTGTTTAGAGATCTGACGCACATCTGAGTGCTGAGTAGTGCTTGTGTTTCTCAGCAATAGTGTGCATCCTTTAACTTACAGAGAAAAGAAGGCCAGGGACAAATCTTTGCACTTTTTGTTATAAAATGTTTATGTAGTATTTATTCAGGTTTTTTAAGGTATCTAATATTTTGATACTTAATTTGCATGATCTAAATATTCTTAAAAATTAAAAGCTTGTCATTTGGAAGTGTGTAGGCCGCCTTGCTTTAAAATTAGAATAAAATCGCAATTTCTGGAGCAATATATCGCACAACAAAAAGTTGTTATGGATGAGCAGAAGTGTGAGAGACGCAGCACCTTCTGAGGGTTCAGTTTTCCCGTCACCACCTCCATGAAGTCCTCGTCTGAGACGCTGAAGATCACGTCTGCTTCAGAGGCTCCAGTGTGCAGAGATCCGCGGCCCGTCTTCAGATCCACGGCTGCAAGTCAGAAATACCGTCAGAGTCAGCACACTGCAAAAAAATCATTCTCTTGCTTAGTGTTTGTGTCTGGTTTTCTAGTTTAAATAACATTCTTGAATCAAGATGCATTTACTGTACGAGTGAAAAAATGATGACAAATGATTTAAGATATTAAGTCTTGTTTTCTGTAAAAAAAAAATTCCTTAAAACGAGCAAAAATATCTGCCAAAGAGGCAAGAAAAATAACCTTGTTTAGCCTTTGAATTAATATTTTTTTTTAGAAAACAAGACTTAATATCTTAAATCATTTTACTCGTACAGTAAATGCATCTTGATTCAAGAATGTTTAGATATTTATACTAGAACACAAGACAGAAACACTAAGTAAGAGTATCATTTTTGCAGTGATACTATGTTTCCATCCACCTATTTTTAATTGCATTTTGGGATATCGCATAAAAAAAAGAAACGCCAAGATGTGCATAAATTCTAAAAATGTGCATAAAAAACATAGTAGGATACATTTTTCATCCGGTAAGAAAATATGCGCATAAACTACGATAGAAACACTTTTACTAATTAAATTCCTTAATGCACGTCAAAAAAGACGTGTGACTTTGCAATGGGACGGGATAAAACGAATCAAAGTCTCGTCAAAGTGCTTCGTTATAATTAACTCCCAGAACTGCGTTCCCAAACAGCCGGCTCTGAAAATAAGATAACATGACCGCGTTTCGTCTGCGCGCTCTCAAGCTCGTAATTATTTGTATACACTAATTATCCTATACAGTGCCTTCTGCTGCTGCAGCAAATTTAGTTTTCTTCGCGATGTTTAGCGCAAGTTAATCAGGAGGTGACGATGCATGCCTCACTGGATGCAAACGGTGCTTTATTCGCAAATGTTTTATGCGATATTCCAATTTTGCGCACAAGTTTAATTCGTAACTTTGGATGGAAACATAGCTAGTGACTCTGTCCTAGATTCTTACATCAAGAAACATCAGGGTTTCTAGAAATCCTTGAAAATGCTTGAATTATTGAAAAATAAAATGCATCACCATTTCCACACAAAATATGAACCGAGTATGAAATGCTTCTTGAGCATCAAATTGTAATGATTTCTGAAGATCATGTGACACTGAAGACTGCAGTAATGATGCTGAAAATACAGCTGCACATCACAGAAATACATTACAGTTTACAATATATTAAAATAGACGTTAACTTTATAATTTATATACTGTACTCTGGCTATTTATATTATGCAATGTTATATGCAATCCAGACCGATAGTTTTTAATAGCACAATAACATCTGATTTAAAGTGAAATGTGTGTAAACGTAATTTTCCACCGTTTATAAAGTGCTGGAAAAGCTTGAAAATGCACCTTGAAAGTGCTTCGATTTGAATTTGAAAAAGGTGTAAGAACCCTATTTACTTGAGAAGCAAAATGCATAAAGATATGAAGTCTTGTTTACTGAAAAATCTATCAAAATTAAGTGATTTATGCTTAAAAACAAGAACAAATATCTGTTAATGGGGTCAGAGAAATAATCTCAATTTTCCTTTGAATTAAGTTTATTTTTCTTACCCCATTGAGATTTATTTTCTTGTTTTAAGCATAAACTCATCAAAAATAACTATAAATACTTTTTTTTTTCTCAGAAAACAAGAATTACTATCTCAAGTTATTTAGTTTTCCCGTACAAATGTATAAACATTCAATTCAACTCACTTTTCAAAGCAGCTTTACAGAAAATACTTTCTAAATTACAATTACGAGCGATCTTAAATCAAGATGCACTTACTTGAGACGCAAAATGTCTTGTTTTCTGAAAAAATGAAGTGAGTTTTTCATTAAAACAATAAATATCTGCCTAAAAATCAACTGAACTCAAAGAGAAATGAGCCCTTTGTCAGATATCTGTTCTTGTTCAGCATAAACTCGCTTCATTTTGATCAATTTTTCAGAAAACAAATACTTAGGGCCAGGCAGGGTTATTATAGTTAACTAAACCTAAAATCATAAAAAGCATTTGGTTGCTTGACATAAATGTTAACTGAAATAAAACAAACAAAAAAAGACGACATTTTTCATTTTCACTTGATGTACTAAAATAGCTCAAATTAAATAAAAATTAACTATATATATATATATATATACATAAACTAATTAAAATGACTAAAAAAACACAAAAAAACTAAAACTTTAACTAAAATTAACATGAAAGCAAAATATATTTTTAAAAGTCCGTTTACAGGTATTTGCACCATTATAATGCCATAAAAACGCCCGTCTGAACTCATTGTGGATGTGATAGCTGCTCGTAGTAGATTGTGCCTTTGAAAAACGGCTCGTAAATCTCTGATCAAATGACCGAATCATAGATTCAATCTTTTTATCAGCTTGTTCTGTCAATTGCCACAGGCTTTGTTCTTCTTTCTGGAGCATGCACCTCAGTTCTTGAGTGAATATTGCCAAAATTATCCACAAATAATATTTTTTATCCCTCAAAAAAAAAAAAAGGAGCATGAGCTCAGATTATCAAACAATTGTTTGGAAAGTTGTTTTACTCTGCGTGAGCAAAGTCAAAGTTTTAAACATCAACTAAAATGACCAGAACACAACATGAGGGTTAAAGATGTTTAGATGTTTGCACTTACTGATTGTCTTGTGTTCTAGTATAAATATCTAAACATTCTTGAATCAAGATGCATTTACTGTACGAGTGAAATGATATTAAGTCTTGTTTTCAAAAAAAAAAAAAATCTACTACCTATCACAATTTTGTTTGTTTTTAATTAAAACAAGCAGAAATATCTTGCAATGATGTAAGAAAAATAATCTTAATTCAAAGGCTAAACAAGATTATTTTTCTTGCACCATTGCAAGATATTTCTGCTTGTTTTAATTAAAAACAAACAACATTTGTATTTTTTTTTTTTTGAAAACAAGACTTAATATCATTTTACTCGTACAGTAAATGCATCTTGATTCAAGAATGTTGATATTTATACTAGAACACAAGACACAAACACTAAGCAAGAGAATGATTTTCTGCAGTGGAGGCAGCAGAAGATGAGCTAGTTTCTCTCGCTCACTCCACTCTCGGACGGTTCGGCCGTCTTTGCTGATCTCCCATCCGAGCACAGCGTTGACCTTCTTCACCAGCTCGTGACCCGCGTCTCTGATCCTGCGTCCGATCTCAGCGAACACCAGGTCGCTCTGCAGGCCGTCCGTCTGTGAATGAACAGCAGCATCATCACGAGTCTGATCGCAGATTGTGTGAATAATAGTGAGTGAATGCTGACGTGCCTGCGGCGGCCCGGCGCTGACAGACGCATCTGCGTGTAGATCTATATACGCTCCAGACAGCACCACATCACCGGTTTCCTTGACCTAGAGAGCCAGAACAGATCACAAACAGGACAGACCTCTGGCTAGGGTTGGGGTTTTTTCGATACCGGTGCCAAATCAATACTTATAAAAAAATAAAAATTCCCCCCAAATATGATGGATTGGCCATTAGCACTATAAACACATGATGTCTGTTTCATTCATACTGGACGCCAGAGGGCGCCCTCGCACAGAAAATCCACATATCCAGTCACAGAAGTAGAGAACTCATGACCCTCCAGGAAATCCCTTACATGGACAAAGACATCGCTATTATAGCTGTAACTGAGTAAACAGAACATATAAACGTTTTGAATGATAAAACAAAGACAATAAACACTCGACTGCGACA